AATTTCCAGCAAAGTCAACAAGCCATGCTGCCCATCTCCACTCTGAGGAACACTCTCTGGAGCCTCTTCTGGCCAGCTGGTAGAGATGAGTAACAGAGAAGATCTGCCTCTACATGTGAGACTGCAGTTCCAGCTTTCCCTGGCAGCAACCCAGGAAAACCTACCAAAGAGCCATTTCCCCTTTCCAAAGTCTCCTAAAATTAACATTTGTCTTTATTTACTATTCATTTAGTTATATTATTATACATAACAGGCTGAATATATTCTTTATCACAGTTTGCTAAACCAGAACAGAGTGTCTTTAGAAGGATTCTGTTTTGAAGTTCTCCCTCTACACCTGCAGTTCTCCTGCAGCTTCACAGGTGCTAGTGGGGGGAAGCACAAAATCAAGAAACCCCCTGTAGGTGCCTTCACCTCAGTGCTATCTCAGCTAATTGTCAGCATTATAGGGAAACATCACCATCAGGGGAGTTTTCTTAAAATACTTTTTTTGGAGTAATTTTGCAGTGGCTGCAGGTGCATGGATAGTTTGTGAACAGAGTGCTTTAATGTTAAGTGTTGCAATAAGATCCTGGGATATTGATGAAGTTACCGTCTCCTCATTACTCTGACTTCTCCAGCCACCTTAGAGGAAAATACTTTGAGCATGCCTCCTGCTACAGAAAGAGCCTGTGCACTTTCCTTTATCAAAGACCACAGCAGACACCATGACTCAGTTTGAGCTGTTGAAAAGGAAAAAAAACCATAAAAAATTATGTTGAAGACATAAATCGTGTTAGATACTTTCTTCAGATGCTACAAATAGTACCTAGTGCTGTTTTCTCATCAACAGTCGGCAAGCTCCCTTTTTGATCGCCAGTGATCAACCTTCACCATCTTCATGGCCGAATGAAATCCATCAGGAATAAACGGCAGGCCTGTTTTTCCCCGGCTTGTGAGCTAGGGGATCTCATTATTTTCAGCATATTCATTAGACTCTCTACTTACTCTAAAAATAGTAGGGTTTTTTTGCAGCTGAGTGACTGGTGGGCAGCAGATTCATGCATTTATCTGTTCCACAATACAAGATCTGATAACTACATGTACTCAGACACTGTGCCTTCAAGAGACAGTTGCCATAAATAGTCTCCACCTTACAGTATTTGACATTGTCAAAGCACTGGTTAACATTCACTAATAGCAATTAACTAATTCATCTTCAGGGCAACCCTGTGAGCTAAGTAAAACTGATATAATTAACACATGAGTAAAATGAGATTTAGGAGTTAAGTCAGTTGCCTGGGTAGAGGCCTTCATGGTCTAGTGGATTAGACATCTGTCTCTCCAACCAAAGAAGTTGAGTCTAATCCTTTTTCTGACATTGATTTGCTGTGTGACCTTATGGAAAGTCAATTAACTTCTCTGCCTCAGCTGCCCTACAGATAATGATTCTTACCTACCCAGTGACACATGGGTGTTTGGAAACTGTACTAAATGATACTTTTAGTGTACTCTTAAGGCCTATCAGTGGAAGAGGTGAAACATCAAAGCTTCCTAGCTTTAATGTCCTTGCTGTCTTTATCTAATTCCTGCTCCTCACACCAGAAATAGCTTAGGGGTAAGGAGGAATTTCTTAGGCTAAGATGCGGCTAGCAAAACTGTGGTTGGCATCAGGAAATGTCATCACATCCTGTTTGACCAGCAAATTTATTTAGAGTACAGGTCAGTGCTAAAACTGCAATGGAAAGTTTATTTTAGACTTGGCCATGGAAGTAAGCAGCATCCTTCCCACGCTACCATGCAATAAAGAACAGTGGCCATGGCCATCCCAGCTGAGCACCCCAGGTTTGAAGGGAGCGGAGCCTGTTTGCGGAGACCTGAAATCTTGCACTCATGCAACATCCCCAGTTCCCTCATACCTCTAAATGAGATTTCTGTGTGATGCTTTCTACAGGTGAGATGCAAACCCGGAGGGAGATCACCCCTGTACACACACCTCCTGGACCAGACCTCCCCGATCTTGCCATCTCTCAGCACTGGGGCGTTGTACTTAAGAGGGGGACAACAAAAACCTGCTTTGTTCAGTTCATTAGAAGCCATCCTTGAACTTCTGTCCTCTCATCAGCCTAGCTTTTCGCGATGTGCCATAGGGCATTGAGAAGTATTATTTCTGTAGCTGGCATTTGAAGTGCCCAGCAGGTATCTAGGCTAGTGGTGTGCACATGTAACTTTATATCCCTTTTCCCATATTCGCCCTTGCTTTTAGTTATTTCTACAAAATATTCTGTTGCTACACATAATGCTGCTTAGGCCCATAAAATCTCCCACAATTCTAACACAGCGAGAAACCAGTCAAACGGGACATAAGAATTCAACATTTACCCTTATTTCTCTGAGCAAGATTAACATTCCTTCTCTTTAATACGGAAGGAAATCTCAGAGCTTTTTCTCCTTTGCTTGCTGAATTACAGCAAGTGCAGTGAACGCTCATGCAGCCAGGAAAATAATAACCTGCTCCTGCCTCTGATGTGGCACCGATCGCTTCTTGGCATCCCTTCTGCTGCCGATCCGCCCGTGCGCCGGCTGCTTTGCCTCGCTGCCCTGCTCCCTCCGCCTCTGACCAGTTAGCGCTCGTCCCTCCTCCGCTCTCCCAGGGCTATTCATAGTGTGTTTAACATTTACTTTGATGCTACTCCTTGCGGCTTTTCAAAATCCTTCTTGGAAAAATGACCAATAAAAAGAAACCCTTTGGGGAAAGGCAGGGAGGAAAGCTAAAGCAGAAAGGGCATGTGCTTGTGTATAATATACCCCTGTAGGCTTTGTCTTGCTGCAAGCCTGAAGATGACTTAATGCAAACCCGTACTGCTGTAAATAGGGAATAAATCGCGTATTCTCCTAAAATACATCTGGGCTAATTCAATAAACCCTGACTTATTGGCTGCTACTTGTGCAAACATCTGCATATTAACTCACAATAAATTACTAATGAGCTGTCAGATCAGTAATACAGTTATTTCCAAGGCTGAAAGATTGTCTATAGCTTGTCCCTATATATTTACTTACTGCAGAGGCTACTGGTGTGGGCTAGCACAGGCCAAATGGCTCAATACCTATACACTGTGAAAGAACTTAAAGGTGACTTGTAGTAGCTTGTAAAATATACTCTAGGACTGTATACTAAGTGTGGCAAGGAGGATGAACTAAAACTGTATTCAGCCCTCACTTGTCTAAAGTATCACTCTTCGGTGTTGTTTTTTCCCGGGGTTAATATTACCTGTGTGCTAATAAGTGGTTAATACGTAACACATTTGGCACAAGCAGAACATGTAATTGCATTCAGACAATTCAGGGTTTTTTTCAATGCTATTGAAGACTGTACTCCCTCTAAGCTTTTGTAGCTTATCTAGTAATGTTATCTCCTGCACTTGCATGTATGGGTTTTTTTTTGTCTTACTATATGGGGAGTCAGAATCTTACTGCACCTAATCTACTAATGCATCAAAGCATCCATTCAACTTTAAGGCTGAGCTTCAGATCTCTGCTGCATCAGGCTCTTTGTTTAAATATGTATCCTTTTGGTTTATATTTAATATTTTGCAAGATTTCATAAAACTACCCAGCATCCCAATGGTGGGATGCACTAGTGACCAATAGGTGTGACTTCAGCTATCATTACAGTAAAGAATATGTAACACCAGGAAGGACAACTTATTTTTTCATCTTAATTTTTTCCAGTACTTTTTGTTTAACCCTGTATAGAAATCATTACACTTTCCTGGGAGAAATTTTCCCATTTTTAAGCTTGGAAGGAAATGGATGGTTTGCATCTATTTTTTTAAGTTGGATGTAAAGGAGTATGGACCTTCAGATTTACATTGGCTTTGCTGTAAATTAATGTTGCTGAAGTAAATGGACACACTTGAACCTGCACCGACCTTGTAAAATATTGGTGGCTATTCAGATGCAACTGGGTCTATCTGGATTGGAAGACGGAAGGGACATCAGTTCATCTTAAGTTTGGTAATTTGGTAATCATTACTGTAAACAGTGTTTTTTATTCTTAGTATGATGACTAGAAGACAATGCATAGCCAGTATTAAACCAGGGTAGATACAGATGATAAAGGCAAAGCTTAATCTTCCTAGGATTAGCGACTCTAAATTGATACGACTGAAAAAACATTGAAAAACGCTGAAGTTGTTAGGCAGCTTCAGGGACCAGCAAAATGCCTTGCCTGGTAATTTTCAAAAGTCTATAGAGACACTGATTGCACCTGGAACTTCTGATTTGATTACCAAAATAAGAAATGTCTAATGTAGTAGCCTCCTCTGTACTTTAATTAAGAGCTTTGTATTTAAATACAACCATCTAATTCCCCGAGTTTATTTTTAAAGTAAGCTTCTGGCAAGGCAGCAGTGTGGTGGATTAGAGGCTTGGAATTGAGGAAAAATCATCGTTCAACATACAGTTCAGAATAATGTGTGTGTATATACAAATACGTGTGTATGCAACATCATGTAGCAAGACACAGGACTGGATTTATTAAAGCCAAATGGAAAGATATTTCTTCTTTTAATATTCTAGATCTCTTTCAATATATGCGACATAGAGATACTGCACTGCAGCCTGATTCACATAAATACCGCAACAGGACATAAATCTGAAACTGTCCAGTAAAAGCTCCATTTTTCTACAAATGTAAAACCAAGTTATCAACTTAGCTGTCTGCATCTATTACTCCATCTAGCAGTGGCTGTTCGACTCGGTGTGGGTACGTAAGACAGAGCAGCCCTCAGCTCACCGTTCCTCAGGCAGCACGCAAGCGTGGGCGAAGGGCAGCAGCACCCGATAAAGCACACTCACGGCAACCCAGCAGTGGGGGAGCAAGCAGGGGTGGCAGACCCGGGGTGCCAATGAGCAAGGGGTGGGGAACGGGCGAACCATTCGTGCAAGACAAGGCTGGACCTGAAAAGCCAGGTAACAACGGAATTTTTCAGTTCTTATTTCAGAAGAGAACTTACAGCTTCCAAATTTTAATGGGCAAGCATGTGCATCCATGGGGAAATCTTCAAGCTGCATGGGACATTCGGCAGAGATGGTCAATCTGTGGGGGAGTAAAAAGAAAACACATCATTTTTTCCCCATGCCTTCCCTTTAGGCCTCTCGCCGCAGCACATGAGTGCTGACCCAAGCAAGCTTTTCCTGAAGGCTCCTCGCTCCTGCTGAACAGAAACCCCCGGTTACACTGGATGTGACATAAGCCAGGTGGACCACTGTGGGTCCATGCTGGAGGCCCTATCTAGTAACGCTGAGACACGTGATGTTATGCATGTAAGCTGTTCCAGGAAAGTCATTCTTTCTTATTAGTACATGAAGGAACTCCTGTGCTGGAGCTTCTGCCACGCACCTTATTCTTACCTGCTTCCTGTAGGTACTGCAGCTGGACTAGGAATTTGACTCCTGAGTATAGCACTGTTACAGACATAAAGCAGCATTGACTTCATATATAGATGTAACTATTTAAAGACACAAAAACCCCGATTTATACATAAAGTATATAAGAGAAATATTTACATCTATATAAAAAGTCATATATAAAGTCAATTACATACATATACATCCATATATATGACTTTATATAGCACTACAGTTTGTTTTTGTGGAAATGACATGGTATGGGGGCAGTCCGATTGTGAATTAACTGGGCACCGTGTCAGGAAAAAACAACGGGGCCATCTTCCCCAACGTATTGCCTGGGGAAACAACTCTATCTTGGACCTCCCTGCCACTATGTGGAAATTCTTCAGCTATAGTGGACATAAGGGTAGGGAAGGAAAAACTCTTAGGAAAAATAGACATATCCTATGAATGATCTGTATGATTGAAATATCAAGCTGAACACAGAAAAAAGTCTGAGATGAGATACATTTCCGAGCAGTGCAGTATCAGTTATAGTGATATCAAATATATCAAGAAAGACAAAGCTTACTTTTCTGGGTGCACGCAAGAGAATCTGGTTTAGATTAGGCCGTTTTCATATTTGCATTGTACAGATGGCTTGCTCAGGATTTGACATTATGAATAGTCTTTCTCGTTTTATGCTGCTCTTCTGCCTCAGAGGCGACAGACCGGCAACACCCAGAGCCTCACAGACCGCCCGGTGCTGGGGTGAGGCAGGGCTCTGCTGGAGGGCAGCCCGGTTCCTTACCAAACTGCTGCCGGGGGGGCAAAAATCCGCCAAGAAATCCACAACTCCCAACTACCAGAATGCAAAAATACCCTTTCCTACCACAACAGCCGCACGTAGCCATACTCCCTGGCTAGACACACTCGCTGCTTCCTATTGCCGCACCGAAGTGAGTCTTCGTGGTACAAAAACCCCTATCCAAAGGGATCGTAAAGGGTAACAGCCTGCCCGTGTACAGATGGCTCAGCCTTCAGCCGGTCCAGTTCAATACAACACAACGATGCCTTGCCGGGGCACGCTGGCTGGCTACGCGGACAACAAATCGGGGGAAACGGCTCCACTCTGCCAACCCACAGAAATTCTGGAGCTTTGCCAATAGCTGGGAAGGGCAAAATAAGCACAGAGAAATGCAATAGTATCGTTGGCTAGAGATCGTATCATGAGGATGGGCTGGGAAACAGGGAGGGAAAAAGGCAAGCTCCAAACAGTAATAGAAAATGTAAAGATAATACAATACATAAAGCAGAAGAAAAAAAAAATCCAATTCAGAACAGAGATAACGTATCATTTGGTAAGAACAGACAGGAAGTCTACAATATAGAAGAGAAATGACTGAGGCCTGAGATACCTGCCCGTAGGCAAAACTGTTCTTGGACTTTATTTTTGTAAAATAAATTTTAAAATCACTAAAATATGGAGTTGTCTGCAGTGGAGACTGGCCTTGGGCACCAAAGCTAGCAAAGCCACAGACACTGAGAGTGCTACGTGGATGAATTTAACAAGCTGGTTCTAGTAGCATCCCGTCCAGAACTTGGATCCCTTTCATAAAAATCATTCTCATGGGTACTTTAAAGCAAGGCTGCCATCCCTCCAGGCTATTGTTATATTTTCTGTACTAGGTATTGCAAATTTAATTTTCTTGATAAATTCAGAAACCTTCCTCCAAGTGCCATAAGAAAATTGCGATGTTTTACTGCGGTCCATCTCCTGCCTCTTTGTCTACCAAGAGTTCAAGTATGTTGTTTCAAATGCTGCAGTTGGCAACATTTTAATACACATACTTGTCATCTGCAAACCTCCAAGGAAGGGATCCCCATAACCGTCTTACCAAGAGAGCAGCTGTGGAATCAGGAAGTGAAGGAAGATTCAATGCAGAATTATGAATAAGACCTTGTTTCATCTGATTGTCCTATGGCTCGTATCCTGCTGCCTGCAGCTCTGGAAGTAAGCCTTGTGTATAATGAGGGAGACTGCAGACATTCCTCAACAGTAAATGTGGAAGAGAAGTGAAGATGAGGAGCACAGAGACTGTGACCCAGTGGAACTTAATTAAGTCTCTCCAGAAATTATTTTTGCCTGTCTTAAATGAAAGGGTAGCACATAAGGCTGGAGGGCAGCTGGCTGCCACAATCTGTCTCAGAAGCCACAAAGACCCTGGTGGTGCCAGGGCTACTCCTGTGCCCCCTCTGAATTCCTCATCCAGCAAAAGGCAGCACATCCCCTAAAAGGATGGTGCCTGGTGCAATCTTCTGGGTCTAGCCCAGGGGTAGGGAGAACTAAGTTTAGCAGCTGCAAATGTGCTTGGGTACAGCCTTTCCTTTCATTAACATGAATTCTTTGGATGAAGAAGTTCCTTTTGCCTGTTACCAATGATATCTGCAAGCTTCTTTCCTTTTCCCATGCTTCCACCCTAGGGCCACTCCTAGTCTTGCATTTCGAACAAATGAACTGGCTATACCTATTTATTACATGGTGTTCTTAAAAAGTATGTAGCCGAGCCTCTTACATAAACTTAAAATGCTCAGTGAACACTCTCCTAGCTACGTCTTACAAAGTGTGCGTTACCCGACGCTTGGGAAGCGTCTTGTAATGGGCAACGCAACAGAAAACTTGACTGTAGGTTCTGATACACCACATAAATGTCACCACCTTGAATTTCTGCGGAGCGTTCTGTGCCCAACAGTAGCTGTGTTTCGTTACTGTGTGAGGACCTGAAAAACAGAGTCACTAAATTGACTCCTGGTTCAAAGAGACCATATTTTCTACTGCCTGCAGAAAAAAAAGCAGCACAGCCGCCACCTCTTACACTCGGGGGGCTGGAAGCATGGGTCACCTGCATACAGATTTGCTCCTAGGTGCAGAGTACAAACTGTATACTCACATCATAACTACAGGAGTCACAAAGAAATTGACACCTGGGTTTGCTCCTTCAAATATCACCTGGGGTGGTATTCGCACACGTCGGCTTTTAACATCGTGTTGAAGCTTAGGTACCCTTTGCATACCCTAGTTTACACAGCTGATTACAACAAAATTACTCGTTGTTTGCATTTATTGAAAGAAGAGAAAGGAGGCCTTGGCATGCATATACGAAACAGCCTTTGTCTAATCCTTTTAATACAGTCACTCCAGAATGATCTTGCTCTGCTCACTGCAGCAGTTATCTGAGCTAGAGACAGTCTCTGAACCAGGACTTTTCTGTCATAGCACAAGCACTGCTCAAACTGTGGTTCCTTTCCAACAGGAGCATTTAAAAGCTTCCCTCCTCCACCATCATTCTGTCTTAATAAAAGCCCTATGGGATTAGTTTCACTCAAACAGAGTTTTTGACAAGATTATAAGTGGTTGTTAAAGGTCCTTTACAATGGGAGGATGAAACTCTGATTTTATTGACGTTAACGGTAAGATTCTCCCTGACCTCAATGGGGCTGGTATTCACCCAAAATATGTAACAAACCCTGGTTACAGCTGCTGATTTATTACTAAGAACAAAATTTCACTTTCATAATGCTCCAAATACTTACACTGCTATCCAAATATTAATCAACCAGCAAAATGCTATAGCATACCTTAACTATCTGAAAAAACAGTGAGGTCTAAAAATTATTCCATGTATCATCCATAATTGTACACGGAAGCGTCATCGAAGCTTCATTATGTATAGCCTTTGCTTTAAGAACACAAAGTGATTACGGAAGTTCTGTTTCAACAAAATATAGACACATAAGTGAATACACATCTAAGAAAAGCACAACTCAGGCAGCAAGACTTCTTCACTCCAGGAAAGTCACCTTCAACCACTTCCACTGGAGAATTAAGTATGACGATGCTTTCAAGAGACTCTTGCTTTTTAACAAGAAGGAGGAGAAGGAGGTGTTAAAGTCAAGGATATGGCAAGGAAATAAATGCAGATGTTTGGGAGCCAGACATCCACAGTGAGTGTGCTTCAAGGAGAGGTGGGAGTCCCTCAGCCGAAGTCCCGGAGGCACCCTGTCCCGCAAGCGGCTGTTTTAGGGCACTGCAGGGGCCTCCCCACCATTCCCCTGATTTCCCTCAATCAAGGAGCATCTGCTCCTGCTCCTGGGAGAAGAGCTGGGAGACTGAGCAAGGCTATCCTCTCTCTGCTTCTGTGGAAGTGCAGAAAACATTTTCCAGAGTATTATCTGCAGCTGCCAGGCAGGAGGCGAGGGCAGTCACCTGCCCGGGGAGCCAACAGCCAGCCACAGAAACCTGCTTGTTTCTTATCAGCTACTAGCTTTAGTATGCAGTCAAATTAAAATTGAGAGCTTTATAAGAAGAGGGGAGCAGAAAGGCAGAGTCACCAATGGCTCTTGAGAGAAGTTAACTCAAGATAAGTGTTGAATAACAAGAGTTACTGATGAAGGGGACACAAGGAAAGTTTTGTTGGCTCTGAGGTATTGGGGCCAGAGAGATATGAAGCTCTTCTGCCTGTTTGCCCTAATCCCCAAACCATCTCTGCATTCTTAGTTGTGTATTTCTGTGCACTGCCCTCGCTCCTGACTGAAGGGAACATTTTAATGTTCAATGTGCTTTGGCCCTACCTGTGCTGGCAACCAATACCTGCTGTGGGGCTCAGGCCAAAATGAGCACAGAATAGCCAAAGTCCCCTTCGCAGC